GGGGGGGGAGGGGGGGTGGGGGGGGGGGGGTTTGGTGTGTTTGTTTGCATTCTTGCTGACCTTGAGGTATTGCGATCACTGAACCTCAGTGGCAACCTCTTTGACGAGGCAGATTTAAATGGTTTAGGGATCTATAAACCCTAACCCCTTAATCGATGTTGCGCTTCAGGGTTCAGGCTTGTAGATATGTAACATATGATCTACTTCGCAACCCTCTGTTGGCGTGACCGCAGTGGGTACCGGCTCCACTCTTCGGTCCTTTGGGCTCAGGATTTAGGCTTAGGGTTTAAGGTTTAGGGTTTAGAGTTTAAGGTTTAGGGTTTAGGGTTTAAGGTTAAGTGTTTAGGGTTTAGGGGTTTCGGGACATTTGTGAGTCTTCTTTGGGATCCTAGTTGCCAGAATCTTCAAGAAGCAGCATGGACACGTAGAATCAGAAGTAGGGTTTTGTTCAAAGCTTCTGATGGAAGAGCAAGCCAAACAATGCTCCTCGAACTGTTCCCTTGCTTCAACATTGGTACGATAGACCTTTAATAATAGTTGAACTTATGGTACGAGATTTGTTTGTGATCATAGTGCTTCTTAGGATTCAGCTGTGGTCGAAGCATCACTGTCCATCATAACTTTGCAGCACTCATGTTTGCTTACGCCCGAAATTCCAGCTGTCAACGCAGACTAGACCTTACACCCCCGCGCGTCTCAGGTTTAGAGGTTCGGAGCACCTGTAGCCTGATGAACACAGTCTTTATCACCTTGGTGACAAGTTTTGGGGCCAGATACTTGGGATGCTTATCAGTACCCCGAACCTCCAAGCAAGAATCACCTGCACAATCGAAGCGGGAATTTTGGAAACATTGCCTGAGATACTGAGCACACTAGAACGATGAGCCCGACAGGCTGGACCCCTAAAGCCCAACAGCCCAAACGAGAGCTGAAGACAGAGCATCTTCACACCGAAGCTCCACTGCTTTGAAGGCAGCCGCTGCCGCGTGGGCCATCGTGTTGCGCCATCTGGCATGCAAAAGCCTTGCATGCCAAAGAAGTCCGTTTCATTTTCCTGAGCTGCACGTGTGAGGTCCAAGTAAGAGTGTTGTAAAATCTCTCCTGGGACCGAATAGCCACCCACAACCCCCAAACCCCAAACAGAACATACGGGATTCTGCGGGAATCCTGCAGACCCTAAACCCTAAACCCTAAACCCTGAACCCCTAAACCCCTAAACCCCTGAACTCCTGAACACCTGAACCCCTGAACCCCTAAACCCTAAACCCAGGTGGGAACTGCGAGTTGAAGCAGTTACATCTGAACGGCTGCCACCTGAACGCCCCTGGGACTGAGCCGTGCTCTTTGCAGTTCTGTTAGGTTAGGGCTTGGGGCTTCGGGTTTAGGGTTTAGGGTTTGGGGCTGAGGGTTCAGCGTTGAGGGCTTTGGGCTTTTGATGTTTCAGCCGCCTCTTTGGAGTGATGGCTTTGTTTTTGTTCAGGATTTTTGTGGTTTCTACTGGTACCTCGAGGATGATTCTCGCATGTCAGGTCTTCCGGCAGTACTGATAGGGCCCTACACGCTAAGCCCTTCCAGCAGTTCAATTGCAGCACTGCGCTTTTTAGTTTGATGTAGGGGCCTTAGTTATAAGAATAGGGTTTTGGGGGATTCCTTATTGTAATTATGGTGTAACATACCCCAAACCGTATCCTAATTATTAAGGCCCTTCTATTATGGGGGGGAGGGAGGGGGGAGCCGGACGCCCCTTGTCGTCCTCATCTAATTTTGGTGTCCTATACCCGAGACCCCTCTTCTGGCTATCGAGGCCCCCATAAAGTAGAGCCGTAACATGGCAATCATGGCACAGTTGCCCATGTAGTGTGTTGCGGTTGTGTTTAGGGTTTAGGTGTTATGCCCTCGGCTCATATATAAGCCTCGCTATGCACCCAAAGTGTAGCACAGCATGTAGGTAATCGGGCTGCTATCCTTACACCCTACACAGTATACGCGTTTGTTGGGGTATGATGTGAGTCTCATCGATGCCCCGGCCCCAGGATGCTGCGGGCATCCACCTCGCCAACAGCCTCATGGAGAACGAAGGTGTCGTTGCTTGTTGGAGGTTTTAGGGCTTGAAGTGTATCGTTTAGGTTTAAAGGTTGTTCGGGGTAGGTCCATATTTTTGTGATCTTGTTGCGCTTGGGGTTTAGGGTTCAGAGTGTTGCACTAAAAGTCCTGACGCCTTAAATGCCTCAAGTTGAAACCTTGAGGAGAATCTTTGGTAGATTATTCTTCGAAATCATACAAGCCTAGTAACAAACCCTATAGACTGTAAGAGTTACGTTCATTACTATAAAACACTTTCTAGTAGTTTCTAGTTTAAGCTAGGCTAGACGACTTTGTGGGACATGCCTGAATTACGGAACTCAAGTGTCCCCGAACCTTATAACAAGTCGACGGCTTTGCCCTAGAACAGATAGTGGCAGTTCCTGAGGTTTAACCAGTAATCCCCAAACGCCTGAAATCCCGAAGCACTGCCAGCTAAGGCCTCTGATGCGAGTACTTCGCTAGTAGATACTTGGATCCCAAAGCCGAAACCGTAAACCAATAGGTACTTGATGATACGTGGGCCGTGGGCATTTGTTGACCTTGCTGCTTGCTGGTCACCCTGACTTATGGAAGCCTCAAGCACGGCCTACGGTTCGGGGGGTTTAGAGTTTATGTTCATAGACCCTGGATGTCTAACTAGGCATGGCAGTGTATTCCGAATGTTCCCCCTCTGAAAAGACCTCTGGAACAACGGATCGACTGTTAAGGCAACTGTTAAACAAATCCCTAAACCCTAAACCCTAAACCCCTAAACCCTACACAACCCTGAACCCAAAACCCTAAGCCCTAAACAACCCTAAACCCTAAAACCGTAAACCCTAAACCCTAAACCCTAACCCCCCAAAAAATAAAAATAAAAAATACATAATAGTAATAATAACCTTAAGCAACTTCATGGATCTTCACCTCGAGCCAGGTCTCGAGGTGCTCTCCATGCGCGACAACAGTATCCGAGATGCCAGCGCATCGGCGTTCGCTGAGGCCGGGGCCTTTGGGTTTAGGGTTTAGGGCTTTGGGTTTAGGGTTTTGGGTTTAGAGTTCAGGGTTTAGGGTTTAGGGTTCAGGGTTTAGGGTTTAGGGCCGAGATGCGGCTTTCGCTGAGGCCGGGGGGCCGCTGGGTTTAGGGTTTAGGGTTCAGGGAGCAGAGGGATATCCTTTAAATGTCCAGAAGCCTATATCTAGAGAGATGCTTCAGCACCCCGACTCACTGAACAGTCTTTTCCATAGCGTGGCGTTTGGAAGTCCGCTGCTGGCCATTGTAGGTCTCAGGTGCGATAAAAAGGTTTCCGAGGAGAAGACCTCAATGATCTTACAGTGCGGCTGCGGAGCTTGTCGACAAGCGAACCTTTCCGCTCAAGATGTATATCATATATATATATATATATATACATACATATGTGTATGTATGTATACATACATATACACGTATTGAGTTATCATTGATGTGTGGATGTTTTGCGCTTGCAAAGCTTAGCACAGCTCTGCTACATAGCCGGCTCTACTCAAAGTCTCGGCCACACAATACCCTCACATAGGCCTAACTTCGACCCCTATAAACCCCCACGCCCCAGAACTCAACCTCCCTAAACCCTGAACCCTAAACCCTAAATCCTAAGCCCTAAACATTAAACCCTAAACCCCAAACCCTAAAGCCCTAAACCCTCAACCTGATCAAGTCTGTGGTTCTGCAGTCGCGGAAATCTTGATTCTGGCTGGTGAGACAAGTTCGTAACAAGTATCCCCTTCCGGTCCCTGTCTAAATTCCCTGGCTAGAACACTCACGATCTAGCTAGTAAGTAAATAAAGAAAACGTATATATATATATATGCATATAAGAACATAAATATACATAACTAAATGAAGGAATAAGTAGTAAATATGTAAACAATTGAATAAATATGTCAATGAATGTATATCTATATATATATATATCTATCTATCTACCTATCTATCTACCTATCTATCTATCTATCTATCTGTCTATCTATCTATATGTATTATGATTGGATTTGGGGCTGCGCTCTTAATGTGCGGCCAGGCGCTCCACCACAACGGCACCGTGACGCAACTGAACCTGGAGCTTAACAGCACCTTGCTTACATATTGTCGGGAGAAGGAAGGGGTTGAGGGTTTAGCGTTGAGAGTTTTAGGGTTTATAGCTTGCTGACATATTGTCGGGAGAAGGAAGGGGTTGAGGGTTTAGGGTTGAGAGTTTTAGGGTTTATGGCTTGCTGACATATTGTCGG